TGTGTGTGTATGATACACCGCACATGATCATGACACATATAGTCTTGGATGTGTACATGCACCTGCCATTCGTTCTGGATGAGATATCTGCCGGTTGCTACCCGCTATGCATCGTGGTGCGTTGCGGCGCCTGATTCTCAGTCGATCGGTGCACGCAGGATATGCTAATATATTCGTTTATCCATTCTCGTGCTGGCGAGGTCTGCTCGATGAGTTTCTAAATGACTTGGGGGCGCCCAGATCAAGATCCCCTGTGCCGTGTCGGCCGAATCATCATCACGACGACGATGAATCCGAAGCTCCCGTGGACCCAGCTTGGGAATGCACTGGTGCGACCCATCCGCCCCATGTTCGTGTATGTTTGTGCAGTGCTGCTTCATGTGCATACATGTGCTCGCGATTAATCATTGATATCTCAATAATTTCGCCGAAGCTTTTTTTGGATCTGCTGATTTGTACGGGCATTTTGCCTGTGTTTGGACTGCTGGGTCTGGACTGACCGAGGCTGGTGTAATAAAAAGAACAAGTAGACCAGAGTATATTCCGTATATATATATATATGCCAATATCTCCACAGGTCATGCCTTTCTCCACCGAGGAGAAACAGTTACATCGCCTCATCCTGGAGGACTCATGGCCGGCAGGCAGAATTCACACAGAAACATTGTGGCCAAATCATAGGATCTTCTGAATGAGTTCCTCACGAAAGACGAGGATTTCTTGCCGAAGATCCGGAAGGCAAGTGAATTACTTAGTATATCGGTTCAAGAATGTTTCGAAATCGTATCAGGCGAAGTCCCTGTTGGGCATGGTCAAGCAGGGTGCTGACAGCCAAGAGATGGTGGGCAGGGGGGGGAGAAAATGCGCATATGTATGTTGAGCAGATTGTATCTTCCGGTGCTGGATGATAAAATCGTGCCAGCTCGAGAAGCACTACGAGTTCTTCTGCAACTACTACGGCTCCATCGGTTCGACGGTTCCACTGCTTTCGACGCATCAGGCTGACTAATCTGATATCTGAAATCTCCATAAATGAGTAAAGAATTTCGCTGCAGGAAGTGATCATGGTGCTCGCGAAACGATATGCTATTCTGGGCCCGACCTGCAAGGCCAAAGCTATTAAGGACATCGGTCTTTCATGATTCCTTTCTTTTTTGCTATCGCGGTCACAGACGAATCGAAACTTCAATGCATGAATTAGTATCTGGCCAGGACTGGGCCGGTTCAGAGGCCCAAGTTATGAGATTGGCAGCTTGCCACGGCCTGTTTCTGAGCAAGCGCTCGAAGGGGGCTAAGAAGCTTGGTTTCCAATTATGATTATGAACAACATTAGAGTGTATATGTCTTGGCATTCATGCCTGCCAAGGAATCGCAAAATCATGGCATTGAAAGCTATGATTCGTTCTGCTACAGAGGCACCAGCAGGTGCCGTCTAGTGCATGTAGATCCAGCTGGCTAGATATGCAAAATTTATAGATTATACATACCTACCTCCGAAAAGCAGCGATGCAGGTCAGGATGTGGATGATATAATCGAGAATTCCTACGAACACGCCGTTGCCGCAGCTGCTGATGACACGAGCAGTGTGGAATCTATGCTGCACATCCACCATAACATATATAGGATTGAAATCGTGGGTGATCCCGATGTACCACATATATCTACGAATGCTACTGGTGACTACCGAGGCAACCGGTGCCAGCATGTCTCCCGACAGATTCTTCGAGGCGCCTGCAAGAGTCGGAGCCAACGAATTCGTTGCAAGCTATTTAATTTATTATACGTATACTTACATAGGGTTGCAGGGATTGGGGCTGTACGATTATAATTATAGGTCAGCCTGGTTGTCCTAAACCAGGTGCTATGCACGTATTATGCACGGGGAGATCTATACCACATTATAAATTTCGATCATCTATAGCTTTAAACCTAGTAGCCTTTCTGAAACCGGGATTGCCCTGAGCCCACAACCGAAATTACCTAGGATCTTAAAGCCTATTAAAAGGAGATATATCTTATAATATAAACTCCTCAAGCCCAGCATATTAGATCAGAAGCCAATCATCATGACACCTCCAGCAATCTCGACTCAGAGTGAGTCCTCGCTCTATCAATCGGTTTAAGAAATGGGTTTTAGTCTCACCTAATGATCTACAATCTCGACTCGGCATCAGTCTTAGCTATCTTATCGATATCGATTAAGGAAATGGGTTTTAATTTCATCTAGGACCTGTATATGTTAATGTATATATACATATATATATATATATATATACATTGACATATATATATATATATATATATATGTTCAGGGTTTAGGGTTTAGGGTTTAGGGTTATTACATAAAGTTGTAAAATCACCCTCGCCCGCACACGTCAGGATGGAGAGGAGCTCGATTCGAAGCTCGCAGCGCCTGCCACGGAGGTGCTGCAGGACAATATATAGAAGCCTAATTACAACTTGATCCTATATGTACCCATGCATGATCGACTCGAGGCTTTGCCGTCGACTACTGATGTTGACATGCCATTCGTGCAAGCTGTGCAAAGGGCTCCTCCCTTGCAAATGGGCCGACTGTGCAACCAAAACCTTAATATATGACTGGTGTAATGTGCCCTCGGCCCTAGGCTACTGCTGGCCTCGTCGTGGACCCTTCGACGGTGGAGACCCAGGTGGAGATCGCGATGCAGTTGCCTGAGAACAGGCGCCAAGCAGCACAGGCCGGGCCGACAGGGGTCATAGGTTTAAATTTTATGTTTGGGTCTCGTTCGGCTAGACACGGCAGGTGAAGTTTCGGTGCAATTCTAGTTATTCATATGATCAGGCTTCGAGATATGAGAGCTGTTGATTGTTGCTTTGGCAGTCTGCTCTTATATTGACATGGCCTCGAAACATTTCTTGAAGCTCAGCTCTAACCACCCTAACCCAAACATTTATAAAACTATCCTCGTCAATACATCGGTGATAAATCAGCAGTACCAGCAAAAGCTGTGACACATCAAAGCCAGCCCAGTTGAACTAAATCAGCTCTGAACCCCTTCAAGAGATTGGGTCATCGATCCCCAGCTACACCTCATATTGTATATATATATATATACGACCGTGCTGTAGTGAGTCTATATAGATATACATATAAATATATATATATATATGTATATATATATATATTATACACCCATTGGTAATATACTAATATATAGTACTCGAGTATGTGTTATCATTATTATTATTAT